AATATTGATGTTTAAATAAATATACACAATTAGAATCCACGTAACAAAACTTAGAGAGGGGATTACATTACATAAATACCAAAAAATGAAGTGTCAGTCCTAAAACACATTTCACTGGTATAGACCAACGTGGCCAGCTTGTATCTGTCCAGGGAAAAAAAAGTTTTGTTCCTGGTAATGGGTCCTCTGGCTCAAAAATCTAAACCAGACCAGGCTATCCTAGATCTAAAGTCACAACACTGATGCAGCCCAGCGTTAGGAAGGTTCAAAAGGCCAAAGGAATTTTTCATCCTGAAGAAATCCTGAAAGGGATTTAAAAATCAAATTTTAACCACTGGTAGCTTAAGACTGCAAGGAGAAAGTTTTATCATCATTGCCAAAAAACATTACACTGAAAATATTTAATGTGCTCATACTTGTAACTGGTTTTGTTGTTGTTGTTGTTGTTGTTTTAAAGATTTTTATTTTTAAGTAATCTCTATACCCAGTGTGGGGCACAAACCCATGACCCCAAGATCAAGAGTCACATGCTCTACCAACTGAGTCAGCCAGGCGCCCCTTGTTACTAGTGTTTAAATGGACGTTTGAGGGGCGCCTGGGTGGCTCAGTTGGTTAAGCGACTGCCTTCAGCTCAGGTCATGATCTCAGGGTCCTGGGATCGAGCCCCGCATCGGGCTCCCTGCTCCGCGGGAAGCCTGCTTCTCCCTCTGACCCTCCCCCTGCTTGTGTTCCCTCTCTCGCTGTCTCTCTCTCTCTGTCAATTAAATAAATAAATAAAATCTTTTTAATAAATAAATAAAAAATAAATGGACGTTTGACAAAGCCTGGATTTTACTCCTTAAATGTGATGATCATTCTGTCTGCCCGCTGCAACAGACTGTGGAAGTTCCAACAAAAGGCCCTGCTAACAGGAGACCGTCAACAGGGTAGGTGCTGTCACATGGAGGCATTCAGTTAACCCCTCATTAGAAGAACCCTGCCTTTGATGAGCACATGTCAGCCCTCAGATTCAAGCAGGCAGCACTTTCTACTCAACTATTTAAACACAGAGACAAACCAGCGCAACTGACAGGTTGAGTCTAGAAAAGCAGCTATGCGGTCCTCTGTGATGGGAAATGGCCTAGCCTAAAACAGCCCCTCTCCCGAGACTTCCCAGCAAGGCTTGTATTTAATGATCACCATTAAATGGTTGAAGCCATTTCCATTCATTTTTACCAAATCGGAGCCATCAAGCAAGCAACTAAGTCCAGAGAGTCGTGACACACCTGCCCCCTTCCCGCTCAGCGCTATGTCAAGCACAAACAGAAATCAGTTCCTCCCTCGTCTCTACTGGTTGGCACTTCAGGACTGTGGGGTTCCGGGCCTCTTGGTTTGCTAGTAGAAGTTTGGGTGAAGAGATGACTTCCCCCTGGAAACTGAGATGCTGATCTCCACAGAGAGAGGTCCAAGCTACAGCTTTCAATCTCTAAAGGTCTTCAGGTTCAGAATGCTGGTTGAACAAAGGTCAAGGAGAGAGGAGTGTTAGTTTCTGAGGAGGCAACATCTGAATGCTCACAGATCCCTAAAAAAGGGGACAGAGCTGAAACAAGCGGTGCAAGACAGTGGTGAGATGTCCCCAGAGGTCACAGAGAGTGTGCCACCAAAAGCTTCCTGTGGCCCGGGGCTTCAAATTTATCTAAATGTTATCTAAATTGGGGCTGCTTTAGAGAATGTTGGGGTGATCTTACTCTGAAAGGGACTATATCATCCCAATGCAGGGGCTGCCAAACGTTCTCTTTAAAGGACCAGACAGTAAATATTTTAGGCTTTGTAGGCCATGTGTTCTCTACCGTAATTACTCAATTTTGCAGAAAGCACAAAAACTGCCACAGAAAAAAGGTAGAAATAAATGGGCGTGGCCATGTTCCATAAAACTGTAGTTACAAAATCAGACAGCAGTCACATTTAGCCCGTGAGCCAGTCTGCCAACCCCCAATCTAGACAGCTGAACCCAAACAACAGCAGTACCTAGTTACAGACTTCAAGTGTAAAAACAAAGATTTCATAAACTCATAATGCTTTATCCTGACATCTCCTCAGAATCCTTACATCTTCCAGAATCACCCTGATCTTTTTGAGCTTAATTAAGTGGGAATCCCTCTAACTGTCTTAGTACTATAAACTACTGAAAATTCTAACTATCGCTCCAAATCAGCTTAGAGCCAGAGGAGGAAGACAATAACACAAAACCTGCTCAGAAGCCACTTCAAAGGGGACAGTATCTTAGTGCTCATCAAGGAAAGGTGTCCCCTCTTACCACCTGATCATCCCCTCCCACCACAGAGAGAGCCTCACCGACAGCAATTCCAACAAAGCAATGCCTATGAAGAATTTAAAAAAAATTAAAAATAAAGAATAATTGGAAATATCAGGTTTGTAAATCAGCCTTTGCAAAGCAAATCAAGTTACCTACGTTTTTAGTCTTGGAGCCACCACTCTCTAAATAAATACTGGTATGCTTTGTGGCAGCCCACTCTGCTTCAAAGAAAACAGACAGCCACAAGGCTAAAGGTTGGACAGCTAATACACAGAAAACAGGGTCCCGTGAACAGCAGAAGGCAAGCGAACACCAACACTGTTAAAGCTCAGAGAGGACTCCTGAATGCCCACACATCTTGGAAATGAAGATGCCTGATTCACTCTGCATTCAGTTACTTCACTTGAAATGTGCAGAAAAGTGGTGACAGCAATTTATAGAGGGACATGTTTCATAGTTCAGGAGAAGGGAGGACTTTATCTGGAAACCACAGCCTACTTGGGCAAGGACACTTTCTAAGGCAGCCACGCAGGATACAAAAAGTGAACTTAGTTACGACGAAAAGCCACGTGCCTATCTTCAGCCTCTTTTCCTTAAGCCTGAAACCACTGCTGCCGAGTAAAATGATTTGCAAGGATTTGATTGCTTGGAATTTTCAGGGCGATATTATTTCAAAAATTAAGAATAAAAATCTTTCACACCCACCAAGACCTATGCTTCCCAAGAGAGGAGAAGGGAGGGGGTAGCCGGAAGCAGTGCAGCTGGGGAAGGGGTGCGGGTGTTGCCGTAGAAGAGCCGGTCGCCCCAAGACCCTCCCAGCACTCCTTCCACTCTAAGCTTGACGATTTGCCACCACATCCAGCTGGACTGCAGACACCTGCTTGCAGTGTCCGCAAAGTCGACCACGGACATCAAAAAGGAAAGGTCTTCAAGAAAGAGGAAGCGGGAGCAGTGAAGAGGCACGGAGTTTCCTCGAAGAGGCTCGAGGTCCATGCTAATCAACACATTTATTCTTGATGCTTCAGAATCCCCTCCTTTATGATTAAAGATCCAATGAAACAAAGCTCTTTGTCTGCTCTGAACCAGCTCAACTAGTTCTGGATCATGATGTCAAGTCTGATGCTGCAAATCTTTGGCAGAGCATTAGAAGCATCAATCAAGGTCTGCTATCTAACGTCAGACAGAACAGAGTTTGAACACTTATGCAGAAAATAACCAGTAGTCATGTTGCTTACTAATTAAATGAAAAAACTGTCTCGCTGGAAGAGTAAAGGAATGAGATCTTTTAATTAAATTTTCTGGTTAACTAACTGTTAAATAAAAAGAGGTATTTTACTTAAGTCCTTAAGTACTTATTTTTTCTTATTTTCCACTGTATTGGTCCACACCCTCATATAAGAGTAGTCAATGCAATCAACACAACATATTGTTTCTTGGGCGACTGAGGATCCAGTCGTTATTTTTAATACAGCATCATCAGTTTCAATATCAATGACAATTATATAGAATCCACCCCAATACAGAAGTTCAGAAAATTGAACTGAACATACTCTGAGCCTAGGGTGAGGTCTGAGAGTTGATTTTAAATAAATCCCTTTCCCTTTTTTTTTAAAACTTCCGTTTGCCTCTCTGCCTTCATAGACAAGTACAGTCAAGAGCTCTGCTCTGGGACTGTCACCTGTTAGACTAGACCCTCTGCCATGCAATAACTGATCCTCTAAGAATGTATTTTCACCTCCTGTGCTTCCCCTGATGATGCCAGGAATGCTTCTGGAGGTTCGAGAAGGGGTCAGTGAAAATGAAGAAGGATGGAGAAAGGAGACAGTGGAGGAGGTGCACAAAGGCGCGAGGAGACAAAGCTTATGAAAGAGAAGGCCAACAAGGGGGGCAGTGGGGGAGCTGTGAGGGGTCAGAGGGCAGACAGAACTTGCCAGAAAACAGCCCAATGTAATTCTATGTTTCGTCTGTGTAAATTAACCTGAAGATGTAAATCCTTACTCAGGGCAGTTTGATTCTTAACAGGTACATATGCTGATGTCAGTGGATCAAAACAAAGTAAGAATAAAACCACGCGGAAAGCTCTCATACCACTGTCCCTTTTTGCAGCCCTGTTTGCTAAAGGAAGGGCGGCCTCTGGAGCCATCTACCTGTGCCAGTCACTGCAGTTAAACACTGGCGGTTAAGACGGTTAATCCAGAGGTTAAGACAAGAACTAATGCCCCAACTTTACAGGGAAACAAGATCCTGTTCCCAAAGGAAAATGATACTCTCATTGACCAGGTGAAACCTGCAGTACCCTCTGCTCCAAAGTCATGATAGGTTGTTGCTCCTGATATTCCATTAGCAATCAATTTTGGTTTCAACAACCCAAGTCATTGAAATGTGTCCAGACACCACGCAGACCAGGCTGGAAACCCTTAAACAGAACCTGTTGTCTCTAATCCTTGAATACCAGGACAGCCACAGTCTTTTGCTGAGTGTTCAGCTCTCAGAGAATTCAAGGTCGGCCCTTCCACAGCCTTCCATGAGAACAGTGGGATTTAAAAATAGGCCAGGATCTTAACAAAACAACAGTAGGAAAGGCTATAAATACATTTTTATATTAGAGAATCACTCTAAAAGATTTCGTTGTAGTTCAAATTTAAGTGGATTTCATCATAGCAGGAACAAAACATCACAACAACGACTGTAAGGGGCGGCCTACCTACTCCTGAATTAGCTCCGGTAACCACGACCACTTTGCCGGTGAAGTCCCGGCCCTGCAGGATCTCCATGGCGGTGGTACTGCTGTCATATCTCTGCCTGCTGGTCGGCTTCGTAGGGTTATCATCCACCGTAAATGCCAGTCTCGGGTCCAAATAAGTGGTTCTTTTATTTATATGACTGCAAAGAAAAGGAGAAAACAGTGAACCCAGGCATTTATAAATGTAAGACCATCTTATAGTTTAGGTGCGGCAAACCCCGTTTTTCATGTACTAAAAAGGTTTATTCTTAAACCCCAGAAAGAACTGGCGTCCATTTAAGTCTGTCTTCTGGCCTCCAGAAGGATTGCATTCCTGCCTGGAAAGATAGTCATCAAATCCTTTTCTTCAGAACTGCCTGTGAAATACGCTGTAGCATATAAAAAGCAATGCCTTGTATCCTGAGATTTCAAAAAAGGAAGCAGCTTTGGGATTTTTTTTTTTTTTTTAATTCATGTAAATGTGGCGGTAAGATCTGTCAGCCACTGTTGTCAGTAGATTTCAGTGAAATCTCTGAACCCTGCGCAAGGGCGTAAGAAAACCGGTAGGAGGTGGCAAACTCAAAATGATAAAAAGTCTGAACGTTCTGAAGTTCTGATGATTTTCATTTCAAGACCGTATTCACATCTCCTCCGAGCACTGTAGTTTGGATTTGGAGGTGATGTAAGTCTTGTAGAAACTCAAATATATTAGCACACATGGATTAATGGGTTACTCCCATAGAACAGATTTATTTTTTTACATTTTTAAATGTACTCTTTGGATCTGAGACAAAAGATCTCAAAATATCTTAAAAACCATTAAGAACTAACTCTCCAGAACTAAACAGATGAGATTTTGTGATTTAAAGTTTTTCTGTAACGTGTGTGTGCTTAAAGTAATAATATTGCTTAAAATCTATACTCATCACCCTAGAAATACAAAGAGCCAAGAAGAATCCAGCTTTCATTTTACTTATAACCGGAGCTGCCAGAGAAGTGTCTGGAAGGGTATCATGCGAGATGCCACAGCAGTGCCTGGCCCATGGGTGCACACCTCTCCTGGCTCCTCACTGATGTCCCCTGGGTGGCCTGAAAGAAGCTATGGTGAAAGGATGTGCCCCGTGGAAACAGAGCTGGGCGTCCCCCCGCCCCCACCAGAGTTGGCAGGGGACCGTTTACCAGCACACCACTGTAACAGGTGGAGAGGGGAGCGGCCAGAGTCACACAGGAACTTAACAACATCAATGCCCAGGAGGTAATTTTTTTTTTTTAATTTATTTATTTGACAGAGAGAGACACAGCGAGAGAGGGAACACAAGCAGGGGGAGTAGAAGAGGGAGAAGCAGGCTTCCCGCGGAGCAGGGAGCCCGATGCGGGCCTCGATCCCAGGACCCTGGGATCATGACCTGAGCCGAAGGCAGACGCTTAACGACTGAGCCACCCAGGCGCCCGCAAGGAGGTAATTTGATAAGTTACAGTCTGTCGGTACAAAATAATACTCCATGGCCATTTAGCACCACTGTCTTGAAAAAAATAAACAGGAGAAAATGCTCACAAGACATTATGTGGAGAAGGACAGGTTACTACACAATTCACAAAGTGCACTCCCTTTTTTTTTTCTTTGAAGAAAGCAGACTTGGAGAATAAATAAAAAAATTATTAAAAGTAGTTAATCCTACTGATAAGATTACAGTTACATACTACATATTTTTCTATATTCGAGGTATACTACTTTTACAATGAAAAATTCCTACTGAAAAGCAAAACAACTGAGAGGCGTTTCTATACAGACACTTACTCGACAAAAAAAACTTGTCCGTTCTCATCGGTTTCTTGTTCCCATCCATATGGCAAATCTGAAACACAGGAAGACTGGCAGGTCTATGTGCGGCAGGGGTGGGGTAAATGGAGGCCCAGGCCCCTGGTCAGGAGGCTCCCTGCCCTTCCAGCCCCCGCCCCAAAGCCTCTCCCACCAACCAGCAGCCTCACTGGGCAACCTCAGGCTGTGTGTACCAACCGTGGCCGTTATAAAAAGCCCATGAGAAATCACCCTCACATTCCACCCCACTCTCATCACCTCCTTCTGCCACATCCCATGAGCTCCTCCGAGAGAGAGAGCCTGATTCCTCGATGGCTCCCTCCTAGAGAACCTTCCAGGAATGACAGAGCAGCCTGTCACCTGATTGTGACAGTTCTGCTATCTAATTAATGCTTTAAATACAAGGTTATTTGGTTTATGACAACAACATACAAACCTCCTGCTATTCGTTTTCTTTTTCCGGTTTTCGGATGTTCCCACTGGGTCTTCTCCTCAGCATGACTGTTAAAAAAAAAAAAAGTTAAAACTCCACAAAAAAATAGTAACTGAAGGTTACACTTCTAAAAATTAATCAACTGCATTGTGCCCCACCCCCCAACAACACTACTTCCCAAGAAGTAAAGCCAGAGTTCAGAAAAGAAATACTCAGAACATAAATGCTACTGTCTACATCAGGTCCAATTCCCTGCGTGGGAAGGAGAAGCAGCCCAAGGAAATCTCCTGAAAGTCTGTCTTTGTGAGCAGGCTGTGGAGGACAAGGAAGAGAAGCAGACTGGAACCCCACTTGTGGGTCAACTTTAGGAAGCTTAGTGAATCACTCAGAGTATCTAGATGTGTTTTGCATTTGTCTTAGTTTTATCCCAGGACAGATGAACAGACTTCACTCGAATTTATGATGCTGATATTTAGATATCATTTAGATATATTAATCTTAAGTATTTATTCTTTCCACAGATAAAACTTTGAAGTGTTTTAAGCACTGACTCCTAATTGCTCCCAAGAGGTATTTAAGAATGCAGTTAGAGGGCGCCTGGGTGGCTCAGTTGGTTAAGCGACTGCCTTCGGCTCAGGTCATGATCCTGGAGTCCCGGGATTGAGTCCCGCATCGGGCTCCCTGCTCAGCAGGGAGGCTGCTTCTCCCTCTGACCCAACCCCCTCTCATGCGCTCTGTCAAATAAATAAATAAAATCTTTAAAAAAAAAAAAAAAAAGGCAGTTAGAAAGCCCCAAAGGTCACCTCACCGCAACCTGGACAAGTTACTCAACTTCGGTGCCTCAATTTACCTATCTGCAAAATGGAAATGATCACAGAACTGATCTCAAGGAAATGCTATGAGGATAAGGTATATCAAGGGCTGAACACAGTATATGACATATAAAAAGCCCTCCAAAGTGCAACCTATTGGGGCGCCTGGGTGGCTCAGTTGGTTAAGCGACTGCCTTCGGCTCAGGTCATGATCCTGGAGTCCCGGGATCGAGTCCCACATTGGGCTTCCTGCTCAGCAGGGAGTCTGCTTCTCCCTCTGACCCTCTTCCCTCTCGTGCTTTCTATCTCTCATTCTCTCTCTCTCTCTCAAATAAATAAAATCTTTAAAAAAAAGTGCAACCTATCATAAACAAATCAAATATATAAACTAGTCCTATTTCTGTGGAAAATTTAGCATTTTATCTAACAGCAAAGTTACAATTAAAATCGTGAGCCAATAACAGACTAGAAATACCGTCAACAGGTGATAAAATATCAAGAAAAACAAAATTACTTCATCAGAGAAGCAGCTGGATGTTGCAAGAGGCATTCCCAGGGGAGGCTGAATTTCCTAAAAGTTCACATACTCATGCCAAAGTAGAAAATAATAATCACTGACATCTAGATGATAAAATCTGAATATGCCTTCCCTACCAATTACTTTAAAGAGAACAAATATAGAGAGCATGAATCTGCTGTAAAATTTTACATGAGGCAAACAAGGTTTTTTGGGGAACTGTGGGCTTCAGGTCTGTTTTTGCAAACTCTCAGTGGCGGGTGCAGCAACTCTGTGGACACTGGACTCAGGAGGCCAAAGACTTGGGCTCCCGAATACCTGTAATCAGTCAGCCACTCTCCCTGGCCCCACACACCTCACAGAGCTGTTGGAAAGGTAAGTGACACCCTACTTGTGACAGTGATTGGCGAACAATGAAGTCACTGTACAAAGGCAGGGTATCAGCAGCCCAGACCAACGTCTACTTGTACATCGACCACCATGAAATCCTACTCGCAAAAAGGGAGAGCCTGAGTCCCTGGTAAGGACAAGCTGCTCCTCACGGACACAACCCCTGCTTCTCCTTTAAAACTGAAGGGAACAGCAAGCAAACCAGACGCTGGCAAAGACCTACACCATTCCTGCTCTTTGCTTTACTTTTCTCCCCATGCTTCTTCAAGAAAACTTTACAGATGTGATTTTACATTTTCCTCTGCCTGGTGTTAAAAGTAGTTTGCAACCCACAGGTAGGCATCAAAATGAGCTTTGAGCCAAGCTCCAAAAAGACCTGCCCTCAAGAATCTATAAAGTGCCCCTGTGAGTGGAACGTTGACCTCTACAGCAGACCAGCGTCCAGATGAACCCTCAGACAACCAGCCCTGTGCCTGGCCCGAGGAGTTGCCCAAATGTAAACGGGCGGCGTGAATAAATGCTTTCCGAAGGAGTTGGAAAACTGAGAACATTTTTTTTTCCATCCTGAAAGACATTTAAAAAAAAAAAAAAGATAAACATTGTCACCCTCATGTTTTTAACTTTGACAGAAAACGCCTAAGTCAAGGTTTCTTACCACTGGCAGTCCTGACATTTAAGGCAGATCGTTCTCTGCTGTGGGGGCTGTCCTGTGCACTAAAGGACGATTAGCTGCAGCCCCCGTCTCTCCCTACTAGGTGCCGATATACCATAGTTGTGGCAACAGAAAGTGTCTCCAGACATCTCCAACTGTCCCCTGAAGGATACAGTGTCCCTGGGGGAGAACCCCAGGCCTGACACAGGAGAAAAGAACATAATTTGGCAGTGAGGATTTCAGAGTCCAAATGCGCAGGAGTTCCGGCTCTCCCACTCACCAGCCATGTGCCCTTAAAGAGGTGTTTGACCTCCCTGTGCCTCAGTGTCCCCATCTGTAAAATGGGGATAATAGAAGCATCTGCTCCTTGGGGCTACTGAGGACTCAATGAGTTAACATGTGTGAAGAACTAAGAACTATGCCTTTCATACAGAAGCATTAATTTAAATAAATACTTACATATAAAATGTAATTAGAAAGTGTTCCTAATTGTAACCTAAAATGACTTTTTAATGAACAGAAAATCACGACATATGTCCCCAAAGTGTTATCTTCCTCTCCTTTAAACAGAAGCCCTCTTCTGTTTTTTCTTTTTCAATAAGCTTTTCGTCATTTAAAGAGATAATTAACAGGGATCTTAAACCAAAAGGATCAAAATTAAATTCATACCACATTACATGGATATCACTTTCAAGTATGCTGTTCTAGAAATTTGTTTTCGAGGTTAACTTGGAGACAGAGAGCTGACTGTGAGGAGGGCCGGCCCCGTGGACCAGGGAGCCATCTCCCAACTAGGCAAGGCCGGCGGGCCCTCTGGTTGCCGAGATGCCAGGGCTTCAGAAGGAAAGCAGTGGGGCAGGGCCCAGGAAGGCCCAGGTGACTGCGGCGACAGGCCCAGGCAGTGAGGCCTCGTCCTTCCATCCCACCTCCCGGCCTGGGCAGAAGGGCTGCCCTGGACCGTGCCAGACAGGGGGGAAAGGCCTGCCAGCTCTCTCTGGAACCCGGTCTGCCCTCAGTGGCAGGACGGCTCTCTCCCTGAAAGCCCAGCCTGGGGGGCCCTGGAGCCATAGGACATGTGCGCTCCGGAGGTGAGTGCACCACGGGACACATGGGAAAGCACAAGGAGTCAAAAGAAGCCACACAACAGGAGAGGGGCAAAGGCATGAGTCGGGGAGGGAGGATCTCACTGGAGGCTACAGCCTCTGTCCTTGGGGGTGGCCTTGCTGTGGTTGAGAGGAAGACCACTGGAAAACAGGAACTACTCAGAGGGCAGACTTCTTTTAGCCCATTAACAGTTTCCCAAACCCCCAAGAGAGGACAAGTGACCCTTCCAGAGTTAAGAGAAAAGACAGACCAGGATGCTTGCAGGTCAGGAGAGATCAAGGGGGACTGCGGGGAATTAGGGTTAGGATTGGTCAGAGGCATCCTTCCACCTGGAGAGCTAAAGCACTGAGGGCCAGGGGGACTAGAGAGGGGGACACCCAGCTGGGCCCAGCCAAAACTTGTCACTACATTCAGTGTAAACAAGAGACCCAGACAGGCCAGTTTGAGACCCAACACTGGGGAGGGAGGAGAGCCTTTTCAGGGACCATATATGCACCACTGAATCCCCTGGAAGCACTCGGAGGAGCTGACTGGGGTGTGCAGATCTTATTTAGTGAAAGAAGAGCCCGGACACTGGCCACCATCGAGGAAGGAAGCAGATGGGAAAGGCCACCCAACATAAGGTAGGACACAAGGGGAAGAGACAGGTAACACCAGGCTCCAGGCAAACTTGAAAGCAAGCCAGGGAGCCTAGGCTAAATGGCCAGAACAAAGGTGAGCCCCACACAAAGCAGGAGGCCGAGGAGGGCTCTTACAGCCAGGATGGCAGTCCTGTGCACCTTTGCATTCCAGGGCCCAGGATGCCACCTGCTCAGGGAGGCCCGAGGAATCCTTCACTGGAGGAATTCACTCAACCCATACAGACTTATGTCTCCCAGGTGCTAAGCACAGGAGATTCAGAGGGTAAGAAGAAAAGGTCCCTGCCCTCATGAAGCTTACAATCTGGGGGAGGAAGACAGAACACAAACAAGGAAAGTATGGCTAAGATGTCTACAGAAAAGGCCAAGTGCAGGGGCGCCTGGTGGCTCAGTCGTTTAAGTGTCTGCCTTCGGCTCAGGTCATGATCCCAGGGTCCTGGGATCGAGCCCCGCATCGGGCTCCCTGCTCAGCGGGAAGCCTGCTTCTCCCTCTCCCACTCCCCCTGCTTGTGTTCCCTCTCTCGCTATGTCTCTCTCTGTCAAATAAATAAATAAAATCTTTAAAAAAGAAAAAGACCAAGTGCCATGACTCAGATAATGAGATGCTGGGAGGAGGGTGCAGGGGTCAGGGATAAGGGGAAGGTCTCTTAGGCAGTGGCATTTAAGTTCCGCTCTGGGGGATGACAAAGCCCTTCACAGAGCTCTCCAGGCAGAGGTAACAGGGAGTGTGTGCTCAGAAGCAGCCTAGAGCCTGACAAGAGCCTAACAGCTCCCTGCTGCTAGACTTGTCCCTACCATTCTCCAGAGCCAGAAACCACCTTTTGAAAGACATAAATCCGATGGTACTCCCTGGCTCCAAGCCTTCAGTGGACCCCCGGGTCCTGACAATGGAGCCCCAGCTCTTTCATGAGACACAGAAGGGCCTCCATACACTGGGGTCTTCCTCTGCTGCCTCAATCTTCCCGTCCCTGCACCAGCACATGGGCCATATAGAGGCCTCCACTCTGTCTCCTCTGCCTGGGCTGCCCTCCTGGCCCTGAACATGCCCACCTCTACTTGTGCTGAGGCCCAGCTCAGGTGCTGGCTCTCCCCAAGCACCCAAGGTGCCTCCCCACCTACCCACACACGCCTCATGTTTAGCAGGCTACTGCTCACTATCCACACACTGCGCTGAACTAGCCATGTGTAACTCTGCCATACAAGCCTGGGTGACAAGTGGGTCTTATTTATCTCAGTATAACCAGGGCCCAGCAAAGAGCCTGGCATGTGATAAAACCCCACTGTGTCTTGAATGAAATAAACTCACCAAGGTCTGTCTTTCTTTTTTTCCCCTGGTTTTGTTTCTACCAAGCAACCCAAGACAGCAGTGGCTCACAACCCTGGATAGATAAGAATCTCCTGGGGAGATTTTACAACATACCAATGAAGGCGGGCAGGGCCCAAACCAGTTAAATGAGAACCTCTGGAGGAGGAACCAAGGAAAAGCTATTTTCTAAGTTCTCCAGATGTTGAAAATCACTAATTTACAACCACGTTTCACAAAGCCAAATGATAACCTGCCTTACGGGGAAAGCTTATAAAATACAGATTCCCCACGCTGGGTGTCTGCTGCATAAGGGTCTCTGAAACCTGTATTTAGGATCATCAACAGGTGATTCTAATGAGGCTTAGGCGGTGCTGTCACAGCTGCAGAGAGAGCAGGAAAAACTAAGTTATGGCGCAGAGTACTTATTAGATCTGTGCTAAGTGTTTAATGTACAGTGCTTGAATTAAAATTCTGTCAACCCATTTTACAGGTGAAAAATCGGTGACTGAGAGTTCTTGCAATGGCCCAAAGTCGCACAGTAAGGGAAGGGAGACAGGGTCAGCCAAGGTTTCCAAAACTTTGCCAGGAACTATTGGAGTTCTATTATATATACAAATGTATATATACATAACTATATTAGGACACTTATTAAAAAATACATTCTCTAGGTCCCTGCCCCAGACCCACGAGGAGGGAGCTGGGCACTGGCCTTTTTTTTTTTCCTGATTTTTTTTTTGGATGAGGGAGTAAAGGCCTGCTGGCCACCATGGCACCGTGCAGCGCCGCCTCCTGAGCACCAGAGGGCGCGTCTGGGCGCTGCCAGGTGACCCCCGCTGGACCCAGGGCCCAGAAAGGCAGCCGACCCCAACTCGAGACCCTGGGAGCCTCCCTGAGGAAGCTCCTTAACTATCGCCTCCACTTCGCGCGGCCTCGCCAAGCTGGAGCGCCGGCCCGAGCCCCTCCGCGCGCAGGCGGCATTCCAGGCAGCGCAGGGTCCCGGGCACTTGAGACCGTCAGGGTTCCAGGTGCAGCCCCCTCCAGGTGCGTCCCAAGGCCCGGAGGCCCCCCTGCGGCCCCTTACTTGGCATAGTAAACCCAGCCGTCCTTGGTGGTTCTCTGCTCCCAGCCCGGGGGCAGCTCGTCCTCGCTGTCCGTGTCGTCCAAGCCAGCGTAGCGCAGGGCTGCCATGACGGCAGGGGAGGCGCTCAGTCACCCACTCTCTCGGTCGCCCGCTGCCGGGTCTCCGCGCCCAGGAACTCAATCCCGCTTCAACCGAGGGCAGCGCGCGGCGAGACCCAAACGCTCGCGCCTGCGCACTGCGCCGCCCCGAGCCGCTCAGACGACTCGGTAGCTAGAATCAGGTCTCCCGCGTTTCGCCGCTGCCGGCGTAAAAGGGGCGGGGCCTGGGAAGAACGACGGCGAAAGCTCGGGAGAGATCGCACTGCCGCTCGGCTGGAAGTAAAAGCCGGTGGACGTTCCGTTACTCTGGAGATGGAGCTGAGCTTCGTCCACCTCCCGGCCTCAGGGAAGGGGCGTGGGCCTCCAGTAATGGTCCAGGACTCCGCCCGTTGCCGAGCGACCCGTAATTACTTCCGCGTTGTTCTGACCAATCCTGCTGGAGCTCCAGCAAATGAGCATCCTGGGAAACGTAGGCCAGGCCCAGTGGGAACGGACAGCGGAGCCGAAAGGAGGGATGCTGATGCTGGTTTTCTGGGCTCTGGCCTCTCCGGCTTTTAGGACATTATGAAGCCTAGATGTTCCTGCTCAGAAACCTTCCAGAGCTTCCCATCACCCAGGCTGACTCACACACTTTGTTGTGCATGTAACCATAACGTTATAAAACGTGGGAACGTTAAAAATGCAAATTCCCGAAACTTCTAACAACCCCGTCTTGTAGAGAAGATGCTCCCAGCCGCAGGATGATTCTGTTGATAAATAAAGGGCTTTTATTTATCAACATTTATAGGCCAATTAATTCCGGATCAAGAATTCATAGACTATCTCTTTCCGGGACCCGACACCTCCTAGAGGTGGGCACAGTTAGAAGAAAGGAGAGCAGGGGACTAACTGCAGTTGAGACCGTATTGCTGTATTACAATTATCTGTTTATCTGCGTACTCCTGACCAAACTGACAGAGCACCACATCTTACGCTTCTCTATCGCTAGCACTTAGTAAAATGCCTAGACCTGCAAATTTATTGAATGAAATAAATTAATGAATCAATGTGATTTCGTAGCTTTGGCCCTCTTTAAGTCAACCTAGTTTAAAACAAATTCCCAATTTACAAAGTGGAGTCTCTCAAATCCTCTTGGAGCACCTACAAGTATTCTATCAATGTCCTGTGTCAAAAACTGGAAGCGTATCTTTAACTTGGTCTTGCCTAAGTTGTTTTCCAGAACATTCCCCAACTGAAACTTGCTCCCCAACTCAGCATTACAGGGAAGTCTACTGACCAGGAGTCCCATGGCCTAGGTCTCAGAAAAACACAAGCCTCCATCTCAAAAATTATGTATCTTTGAATTTTTTAAATTTTTTTTAAATTACATATTTAAACAGGTAGGGACATGGGGAGGCAGGGAGTTGTGTTGCTTTTTGTCTTCAAGTCCTAAAATTGATATTGCTTTGGGATTTCTGCTCTGCATGCTTTTTAGGGAAGAGACTTGCTTTCCTTTGAAGGTGCCCAACCAAAAGCTAACTTAATGAAAATATATTTTAGTTTTAACAGGTCCACTATCACATCTCAGACCTATCAAAACATCACTCTCCAACCCATATATATTTAAATAAGCTAATTTATTAATATGCTGCTCTTCTGCTCACTCCAAAATAACCCCTTGTCACCCAAGCCAATTTATTCCTTTAATATAAATAGAGATTAGGTCACAATGACCCCAGATGATGGGGAGGAGAATCAAACTGATTAGTCTTAGTCTTTCCAATTATAATCTTAGCTCCACTCAAGGACTCACTGCTTAGATTTATCTCTGGTTGCCCTCACCAGAGCCTCTCGGGCCACCTGTTCCCTATGACTCAGCATCAGGCCACGGGTAGTAATATGGTATCTTCCCCAAAACTTGGTAGTGGTCCCCTTGATAAAATTCACAACTTCTAGTTCAACTCTCTGCTCTTCCTACCACTTAAACTATTCCCTCAAAGCTTCTCCTGCCATGAACATCAGGGTTTCTCAACCTCTGCACTACTGACATTCGGGGCCAGGTAATTCTTTGTTGCCGGGACGGGGTGGGGGTGGGGGTGGGGAATCTGTCTTGTGCAATGTAGGATATTTAGCAGCATCTCTGGCCTCTACCTGCTAGATGCCAGTTGTGTCCCCCTCCCCCAAGCTGTAAAACCAACAAGTCTCCAGACCGTTGCCAGTTGTGCCCCCAGTTGAGAACACTGATCTACACTGACAGTAAGCCAGAAAACTACTAACTCATAAATCAAATGCTGGGATGTATTTAAGATGTTTAAGAGACCCTTCCTGGCCAGAGATTCACAAGGTGGTATTCAGACCCTGCTGGTTCAGATTGCCAATTCTCTAGCACTGTCTGAGGGTACGCATTTCTTCAATTCCTAGTCACTCCAGAGTTGAGACCCATAGGCTGACAGAAGTCTGGCTGAGTGGCCCAGACACCAATAATGGTCCCAAATGGTTATGATGACCTAATTTTATTCCTCTCTTCCTACTTTTTATCTGTGGCTTCTATCAGAAGATTAAAAGAGTAAGACACACAGGCATTTGGGGACTTATGAAGGTAAGGCATGCCAGATTTTAGGATTTCCAGTCTTCTGGCTTCTTCCAAACTGACATTGTTTTAGTAGTGCTTGTTTGATTGCAAACAACAGAGACTTAAGCAAAAGTTTATGTCCAGGGTGCACATGAGCTAAATTAGAATGTTATCAGGGCCTGAGGGAGCTTAAGGACAGGCTCCTTTTTTACCTCTTGTGGATTTCATGGTCTCTTGCTTCCCGCTCTCCACTCATGAGCTACATTCTCCTGCTCTCTCTTTACTGGCTTCCTCTGTGCCCTGCCAGTTCTTGCCCCCTGAGCTTTAGCTTACACATGGCTTTGATGTTGGTTTTCCAAGGATCTATAAGAAGGTGAGCTCTATTTAGCATATAGAATTTAATAGGTTTGAGGAGCCTTAAGTTTGGGAATAAGCCAAGGTCCTCAATATGTACCCCTAAGAAAGGCTAAAGAATGGTTTGCTTTCGTGAAGCCAACTAAGTCACATTAATGGGTAGTGAGGAGATTTAAAAAAATCCAATGTGTGGTTATACAACTGCACACCAGATGGCCCTATGTGCCCACGATTGAAAGGCTAAAGACCAATTCCTGACAAGGATTTCTACATTTGAACTGTCTTTTCTCTTTTAGTGACCATTTATGCAGTAAGTGACAATTGATGACCATAGATTGACGAGTTGCTGCTAAAAGCAGTTTGGCATTACTTATGCGAAGGACACAAGCTTTAGTGGAACATCCCCAGGGCCACATTTCTTTTTTTTTTTTTTTAAGATTTTACTTATTTATTTATTTGAGAGAGAGAAAGCGATGGACAGGGCCCCGAGTGGAGGGGAGAGGGGCAGAGGGAGAGGGAGAAGCAGGCTCTCCACTGAGCAGGGAGCCTGATGCGGGGCTCGATCCCAGGACCCTGAGATCATGACCTGAGCCACGCTTAACTGACTGCACCACCCAGGCACACCACACACACACCCCCACCCCAGGCCCACATTTTTTAGTTCCTATCATTGCCCTCCCCCTCACACACACAAACACCCCAACAATTCTGCAAACCTGCTTTAATGGAAGTCACCGTTCTTTGGGAAATTAAGCTTCCTGTGTTGGTGCCAAAGGCAATATGCTAATGAGACTTGGGAGGCCTCCTGGCTCCTCTGACAAACTTCTCCTGGGAGGTAACCAGTAAGGAAGAATACTGAACAGGATTCCAAGGGAAAATGCTTTCCTGGTCAATGTAGCCTTACATAGGAAGGTGTGTTCAGATTTCATTTATTCATTCGAACACACAAGGAGTGAGAAAAACTTATGCCAAGTGTCTGAGAAAAAAACAAAAAACAAAAAAAAATGAAACATCCCTTGCATCCAGAAATCAGTCAATTAGGATAAGACTTACAGACATACAAAGAACTATGGTTTGAGGGGGTTTTTTGTTTTGTTTTGTTTTTTTGTTTTTTTTTAAGATTTTGTTTATTTATTTGACAGAGAGAGACACAGCGAGAGAGGAAACACAAGCAGGGGGAGTGGGAGAGGGAGAAGCAGGCTGAGCAGGGAGCCTGATGCAGGGCTCCATCCCAGGACCCCAGGATCATGACCCAAGCTGAAGGCAGAAGCTTAACGACTGAGCCACCCAGGCGCCACCAAGTTTGAGGGTTTTAAAGGAAGTTTGAACCAAGATGTATAGGTATACAGAGACAAGGGTGAGTTTCAGTGGTAGGGTTTCCTGTAATTATCTTTAGAACCAAACTCAGTTCATGTCACTTACAGTGACCAAGTCATTTAACTTACCTTATTCCATTACCAGCCCTGTTTTAACAGATGAAGAAACTGGGGCACACAGAATTTAGGTAACTTGTCCGCAGTCACTCCGTGAGCAAGAGCCAGCAGGCTCTGGAATTAGAATCCAGACAAGAGGACTAGCCCCAAACTCATTCTCTCTACCATGGTTCCCCTGTATGCTATCTTTCCAGAACAGGGGGTCCTCAGTACTGGGATGCCCAGGGGTTTCTGCTCCTCCATGAGAAAATGAGAAAAACAAAGTAAAAGAAGTGAATTGCTCATAAAGCTAAATATATTTTATTTAAAGTACTGTCTTTTTATTTTCTATGATACTATATCTGTTCTACTTTTATTTATTTCTGGTGATCTCCCAACATGTTTTATTATGAAATTTTTCAAACATCAAGAAAAGTTGAGACAAGTACAATGAATGTCCATCTTACCGCCCCCGCAACACACAGACCTAGATATAGTAATTGTTAACCTCCTGCCACATTTGCTTTAAAGAGACAGAACTTGATTCCCTGAAACGTTAGGAGAGAGTGATTTTGTTTTCTTATGAGAGTCTTCAGGACTAAGTAATAAGGCTCATTTTCTCTAGGCAACACCTAGGCACTCTCCCCTGGTGAGTGCATTTCTATTGCAGTGACGTCTCCAAATCAGACCCTCACATTTGGAAATTTCATTTGTTTAATTTACATTTAAAGGCCTCAAGTTTCAATGTAGTTTTATTATATAACTGCTAACTTGCCACCATTACCAAAATTCTACTTCAGCCTAATTTCATTCCTGGCTACTTTCTGCCCC